TATATATATATATATATACATCCAAAAACGTTTCTCCCAGTTTCTACGTGTTACATCTTTCTCTAAAACTGTGAAGCTCGAAGCGTGTCCGAGGCGGGAAAGGCCCGGTCGCAAACTTACGCGTTATTTACGACGACAGTGCGTCGAAGTGAGGGCAAAGCCCGGCCGTTCCGCGTTCCCCGGCAGTCTATGCTTTTAAACAATTTATCGAGTGATTTATCGCGTAACAGGTAAGTGCACAGAGCGCATAGATGGCACGGGGGACTTTTATCTGCGCGACGGCAGTCGCATTACAGGGCGTCGCGTCGTCTGGACGCACCTGCGAAATACTATTTATTGCTGGGCAACGACGACGAAAAAAGAGAGAGAGGGGGGGGAAGAGAAATGACAAAAATAGAGGGAAGGAGAGAGAAGGAAGAGAGAAGAAGAAAAAAAGGATCGTTACCTCTCGACTGTAACGGAAGAGAGGCACGTTTTATCGCGTTGTCGCGCCGATGCAGATGCACACACGGCGATCCATCGTGCGCGATACCCTCGTATTGGCTTTCAGGAAGATGGACTTTACGAGGGGGCCATTCGAGATATACTATACAAGAGGGGGAGGGAGGGAGAGGTCAATAGCGGAGGGATAGGGATAGACGGTTTACAAGATAATCTTTGTGTCGCGAATTATTGAAGGAAATCGACGGATCGGCGACGATAAAGCCCGTGGAAACGACAGGTTTACTGGTGAGCGAGGGATTTAATGGAAAGGTCGTCGCAACTTTGTCGCTTGTTCGGAGGTGGTCGTTATAAATTATTCCCTTGTCGCGTATGAACACCCTCCCTCCCCTCTCTTTTCTCGAGAAACTCGTTTTCAAACGATAGCGACAACAACTTCTAGTTTGTCGCCGAAATAATTTCAGAGAGGAGGGATGCGGCGCGATTATTGTGCAAAAGAAAAGGAAATTCATCGAGATGAAAAATTGATCGGATCGGGGAAACTTTCTGTTTAGAATAGTAATCCGTTCCAAAGGAACGAATTGAGCATAGAAAATAGAAAGTTTTCGAGATATTACCGGATTTTCCCTGATCGACGATGCATCACGATTATTGCGTCCAATCGAGTCGCGATAAATCGCGATAAATTATTTTCGAAAGTGAGGGATTGTTCCAAGATCGTCTCGATTCGGATAAATTGGATTTCAGGGGCGAGCAAGAGTATCCGGTTACGGGATTGGTAAAATTCAATTTTAATTCAGGTAGTATTAGCTTAGAGTTATACATAGACACGTAGCTTTAAAATTCGATATGATGCGTTTGAACACGGTTGAGCGGCGGGGGGAGGGGAAAAATGGGGCGGCGTGACACGTGAGCGGGGAAAGGGAGAGAAGCATGGCATTGGCAACAGCTCAAAGACGCGGCGGCGAAAGCGGAGCTAGATGCATAAATGATGCACTCCTCGGTTATTCCATCGGTCTTGTTGCGCGAGTCCATAAATTCGTGTATAAATCTCATCGTTCTTCCAGCGAAGTTACTGCTCGCATTAATTTCGCACTTGCGGCAACGCCGCTCTCCGATGCGCCCGAAGCAACAGGAAGACGAACGACACGTGCCCCAAAGTGCGCGCGTGCGCGCGCGAGAGAACGAAAACATTGTCGCGAACCGCCTTCCCCGCCAATGTTCATCTCTTTGAAAATGATACTCGGATGATACCGATGTTCCATCATCCCTAATTTGTACGTTCAACGCGTTTAAATTTATTTTTAATTTCGATGATTGATGTCTATTAACCTATCTCCTTTACCTGTAACCTTTACCGCTTATGTCGAAATAAACGTTAAATTTATTCCGTTCGAGGCACGAGAAGATATAGTAGGTTATAATTTAAAAAATGGAAAGAATAGTATTCGTAGAAATTAAAAATAATTTCGATAATTTTAAGATGTTAATTTTTTTTGAAGAGATGTAAGATTAAAGTGGTAGCTATTGTCGAATTATTGGATCATATAGTGCGAATTATGAATAAGAAACGCTATGAGCGGAAGAGGAGAAACGTGGAAAAAAAGTGACTCACGCGATCTACGGATAATCACGTTAATTATATTACGTGAGGTACACGTTAATCCCGGGGGGACAATGCGTCGTGCATCTTAATTTTCATCTCTCTTGTATTAGCTCCCATAGCTGTATTAAAGTCGTCATAAAGCGAGGGAACAAATCGCGATGACCACGAATCCATTTATCACCGAAAAAATGGGACACACGAATGTTGAATATGCACAGTATTGGCTATGCGTCACATTTTTACATTTTGCAATTTTAATTTCTACCCCATCTGAAACCATTTTTATTTTCCTGTATTAACGTTTATCAACTGACATTTTATATCGTCCGTATCGATAAAAATAAAACAAGAATAGAATTTTACGATACATTAAAAATTATCAATTGAAAGATTTGCAAAAGTTCTTTTAAATCTTTTTATATCGCGTACAAATAAATTTATCAAGTTAACTGAATAATTCAAAAGAATAATAATATTTATCGTTAATAAAGATAACAATGCTCTTAATTTATCGACACTGTGTAAAATTAATTATAATAAAATTCGCGGCATTGATTCAATTAATTTTTCAACACGATTCTATTCAATCTCACATAAAAATATTCACATCCATTTCAAATCCTTTCGATGGAAGAAAAAATTTTGCGAGTGTTTCAATATCGTACGATAACCATCTTGAATAATTTCTAAAACAAAACTAATCTAAAAACCGTTTTAATAATTTCCTACGCGTTCATATTAATAACTATCGAATATAAAATATCATTCCTTCTCCGTTTCCAAAAAGAACAAAATACCGAAACTGCATTTACGAACAATCCCTTGAAGCGTTACCTTACAACATCGAACCGAGCACACCGTGGCTTCCTCGCTACGTAAAGTAACCGTACGCACGACCTTTGGAGAGCGGTCGATTAAATCAGGCTCTGGTTCCG